AACAACCACAATCAGTCAGCAACGCCCAACTCCTAATGGCATTTCAACATTAATTTCACTTGAGCACCAACCGAAAAGTTCCCATAACTCAAAATCATTGAAAACTATTTATTGTGATTACTTCTTGTCATTCCTCCGCTGATGCGATCAATCAAGTCAAGTCTCCAGTTGGCCGCTTTGAGGTGATCCGCACTAACTCCGCAGCAACAGATCAAAGCGACGACTTATTTGGACTTCTTCTGTGCCCCCCCCCCCCCTCCCTCCCCAAAAAAAAAGCTACAACAACAACAAACATGTTTGGTATGTGCATAGTTTATCCAACAACAATGCCAACGCCCAATGCTGCAGCAAATGGTTTGACTTCGCTTTGGTTGTTGTTGTCGTTGTTGTTGTTTTTGCTGATGTTCTCATTGCTTTTGTCATTAATGCGGCAATTGTTTTTGTAGCTTTGTCGCGGCTTTGTGTGTTGTTGTTGTTTTTGTTGTTTTTGTAACTAGATGATCTGCGTTTCTCAGATCTTTAAAATAAATTATTGATTTTACGGAGTGTTTAAGTTGGTACGTGGAACAGTAATTAAATGCCTATCGGAGGCGCTGCCAAGTCGTCATTAAGTTGGTTTATGTTGGCTTATTCTTGGGAAAATTGTTAATGTTGGAAATGGCGAGAGAAATAGCATTCAAATGCTTGGAAGAACACAAAGCAACACACTCATCTGAAGATTGGTTTTCGAGCATTCTGCCAGGAGAGAGACGAGTGGACTTTCCATCGCCTGGCTTGTTCAATATTCCTCGCATACTTCGAAGGATTATCTACATTCTCATGTCTGCTCTATGCCTGTTCATCTGAGATGAAATAATTTTATGTCGTAGCCCCGAACGTTTAAATAGCGCTTAAGATTTCTGCACCTAGAGAATTGAAAAGCTTTTGGTCGTCCCAAAAAGTTTCGTAAAGCCCCTTGAGACTGCAAACGGGTTCAAACTTCCTCTTTTTCCGCAGAGAGCAGCAATTCTGTTTCCCCCAATTACGATTCCTTTTGTGCAAATTCAAACTTGTCCACCGATGATATTAAAACAAAATGATCCTTGTCAATCCAGCTCCAAATAAATTTTAGATTTTTCACACTGCATGTGAACAATTCGCCAAGAGCTTCTTGAAAAGTGCAAGTTTTCCAACTTACATTTAATCCTTTCTAGTAGATGCTGCCACTCTATGTCTATGCCCGTGACCATTTCACACCTTGTTGTACTGCTACATGCAAGTGCTATGATTACCCTTCAATTATTGTTGGACACACTTCTTTCAATGCTCACATCCAACCTCGCCCCGAATGTCCTTCATCCAATTCTCTTCATATCAGATGGCTGGCTGTGATCGCTGGCCGGTCGATTGTATCGCAAAGTGGAAAGCCAAAGAACGACTGTGTGAATGCCATTAATTTACGCAATTGACATTTTTCTTTGTTATTGTTGCTGTTGGTGCTGTTGTTGTTGCTGTTGTTGTTGTTATTGTTGTTGTTGTCGTTGCTTACAAGAGGCATAAAGACGTATTTCACAGTGTGATACAAATGCACTTAACGCGGGTGTGAACAAATGCCGCCGTCAATGAGCATCCACCCAGTGAATGGCGCTGAAGATTGAGCAAAAAAATGAAGAAGACGAGATCGCGCAGATCATTCGCATGTGCTCTTGATGCCTTGCTGCTAGAGGCGATATTTATAGATTGGACTTCAATAAAGTCACCAAAGGGTATGATGATCGGTTTGGTCGGAGCGTTGATCGGTCGATCGTTCGTCCGTATATAGATGCAGTGTACACGTATGCGCGTAGAGCTCATTGGGAAGATGTCTCGGGCATAAAACGTGTGAAAATCATATTACGACGAGGTCGCAATTGCTCGCGACTCTTTTGATTTCGACTTTGCATGCGTACAACTGTCTCAGCTCGGACTCCTGCCGAGTTGTTGACTGCTCTACGCTGCGATTGGCAAAACGGCTGGCTGGAAGTGTTTCCGCGGCTCAAATTCACAGCTTGACAATAAAAATAATTTAGTACTGTGTAAAAGTTTTATAACATTATAAACTGCCATATTACATACACAAAGCGAAATTCAGCAGATTACATAGATATTCTTGCGCACACATCCACACGAATGCCTGCTGCTTCAGTAGTACCGCTGTCCTGCGCTACACAGACCGACTAGTCTTTGATCTCTGAAAAAGTTTGCGAGCGAGTAATGTGTTGTTGGTTGCTAGAGAAGAATAAATTTAGCGAAAACGGGTCACCAGTGATCGTGCTGAACGCGTCACACCAAGTATTGGCTTCAAAGCCAAACAGTGGATCGCACAAAAGAAAACGGAAGACATTAATTTCCAGCGAAAAATTGGATCAACATTTCAAAACGGTCGCACACTTGAGACGCCCAACGTGCGCGTCGCGAACCAATGTATTAATTTCGCTATCAAAGTGTCAAAATGAGAGACACTTTCAGAAACAAATCAGATTTCGTAGCAGAGCAAAATGCGAACGCCCATCAAAGCGAATACAACAACTGCCTAGACGTGAGTCCGTCAGCTGGGCACTTGAACGGGGGCGAAGTACTCAAATGAGGGGGGTGCGTACACTATTCGCCCGTGATGTCTGCGTCTGGCGGCTGTGGTCGCAGCATAGAATTATAGGTTTTGTTCGCTGCTATTTTCTAGCGACTAGAAAGGCGATGTCTCTTCCGCTCTTGGAGTTCCCTTTTCTTATTCACTTGCAATGCGTAGAACGTTCGCTCTTTTTAATTTTGTAGTTATTCTTGCCGGAGACAACCTGCTGCGTGTTGTGCGCTTTTCAGTCTCTGTTTTAGAAACAACAACAGCCGCCCTACACTCACATACGCACATCACACGACGATATAAATTGGCCGATTTTCATTGCTCAAACTGAACCGGGAGCTTAGTGCGTATAAATGTATAACCAAAAGTAGCCCGTGGGCCATGTGGTCCATATCATTCGCACGCGCTGATGGCTTTGTATGCGGCATTAATGATAATCACATACTTTTTGTATACAGTGCATATCGAATAGGGGAACGTGTGATGGGATGACCATCCTCTTCTTCCGCGATCTTCCAACTCTTCGGAAGCGGTGCCATAGTTGCGAGCCGTATAAAATCTCCTTCGAACAGTTACTTCATACGAGGAGCCACACTGACTTCATCTAATTCCGTAAGGCTGCTGGATGGATTTTTATTTTATGTCATCGATACTCTCGAGGTTTGACATTCTCTGTTGATTGTTGCACCAGGACTCCAACCCTGACCCACCAAATGTAAGTTCGTTATGCTACTGACTCGGCTAATGCGGTCGCCAAGGAAAATAGAGTGTCTGATGTAAAATAATGACAGATCGTGAATATTTTTTTTAGCCTTTTCCTCGATTTTCCTCAATAGACCCTGCCCCACGTGTACAAAGTGAGGAATATCGACTCGAGTTTTGCTGCATTTTACATTTGAATTGACCGCAAATTCAGCCACAAAATCTTCGAAGCAAAATGTTTGTTAAATTGCCGTTAAGAGTCTACATCTTCATGCCATAATTTTACAAATTAACACTTTTGAAATAATTTTTATTGCAACATTTTCACAATTCGTATTTATGTTTACGCAAATAACTGTATTGACGATTTAATTTATTATAAACAGTCAATATTTCAATTGCCACATGCCACATTAGAAAACGACTGACGGACGCGGTGGCGGCGGCCATGCCGAGGACAACGGAAAGCTAACGCGCTCTCTGTGACCACACAACTTATGTACGTGTATGTAGATAGATCGCAGCAGCGAGTGCGTGTGTGCCTGTATGGCGAATGCCACGAAGTCATCTGTATGTATATATGTGTGTACATATGTAAACAATCTATGTACATACATATACATATATGTACATTCCAGTCCCCTGTGGTCGCCCTACCCACTCAAAATGGCCACCTAGAAAATCAACGCCCAATTGTCCCACCTTCCTCTCATCTCCTCCCTATTGGCCGTGCTTGCGTTGCCAACATCATTTTCCACACGGTGGAAGTAAGCGTCGTAGCGGTAAAAAATTCTGAAAATTTTCAAAAAATCATAATAATTATTTCCCAAGAACATAAGAAAAACACAAGTCTGACAGGCGAAACAAATTTTCAGAAAATAAAATAGTCATTTTTAAATGAAGCAACAATCGGGAATAACAAAGTTAATTTTTATTTATTAAAACAGGGTCTATAGGTATGTGTGCGCGTTAGGGTGTTAGCAATTCACATTAAAATAGATTTTTGGAGCTTTCCTTTGAACCAAATTTTTGTTGCTTTGAAATATGTATTCATTTGAAAGTTCTCTTTCTTCTTCTTGATTGGCGAATCAACAATATCGGCATTCGTATCTTTTTTCATTGATTGGCGCCTAGAGGCAACACCAAGCTGAAACTAGGACACACCACGATAGCCTTTCTCGAAGTGGAGGTATTCCTCTGTCTCTGCTTCCACTTTCGGGTACTTGACCCATGACATTGTTATTGGTGCTAATGCTGGTTCTTTAATGAACGAAGTTATGACTGTGAACCGTGGCTTGGGAGCCAAGGCGCGAGTGTACTAACTGTTCGTTCTATTTTACATATATTTAATTGGCGCTCTATAACCGCTGAAGCGATTTTTGGCCGAACTCCTCCTCCAAATTGTGGTTGTGCGTTTTGATCTTTTTTCCAACATAATGAAGGAACCTACCATCTCCGAACGGTTGATGGTTTTTGATGAGGAGCTTTAATTCATGTCAGAAATACACTCGGAGGGGTTGGCATTCCCTGCCGGGGGCCGACCGCAATCAGAAAATTAAACTTAATTTTGTATTTGAATTAATTTTCTTTAACTTTTGGATGCTCGTCGCACCGGGATTTGAGCCCGGGCCTTCGGAATGGCAGTGCTCAATGCTAACCACTCGGCTATCGCGGCCGCCAACTGCTAGATTACAGAGTTATTTTTTGTTGTCCTCGTTCACTAGATTCTTTGTTAATTTCTAAATAAAAAATATTTCAGTTTGCTTTAATATGGGGACCAACCTAATGTTCACATGTATACGATATACAAAAATGTAAACTCATACATACTCGTGGATTGATGATCAATGATAAAATCATTTGAGATATGCGCGGCGCCCCGCTGGAGACCATATCCACTCATCGTTCGCGCATCGGACGCAATCACACCTCATAATTGCCGACCATTCCAACTGGAAAAAAACACGCTGCCCTGCGAAATAGTTCATACAAGCGCAGCGTCTAGGCCTCGGCGGTGCGTCCACCTGAGTAGCATTTCGTCAAGTGTTTGGGCGGCATGGAAAAGTACTAGATTTTTCACCTAAACAAATCGTAAAGCAAACAAACTGCCAAATCGTAAAACTTAACTCACCTACATTAACACCAACAACAACAAAAAGATGAAAAAATAAATAGCAGCAACAATCAAAAAGACAGCACAAAAACACACACACATCCATTCATTCTAATACATAACTTCGTACTTGTGTACTTACTATATATTTACATACATACATACAAACATACTTTTTCCGCCGAAATTTATTGTGTTGTCTTATATAAAATTGAAGATTTGCTGCTGACAGTGACTAAGAGCCGATATGCCGTTATGCCGTGGAAGATATAAACTTCTTACTTTTATCTGAAGAACATTGAACAAAACAAATCAAATACCCAATGGCTTTTCAACCCTCAGCGCCGGCACTGGCCCACACTGGCTGAATTGTGTGTGTATTGTTGTTGTTATTGTTGTGTACGTCTGTTTGCTGTATTTGTTTCTGGTCGTTTACGCAATCACATTTTGATAATGTTGGCACCTTTCGCTGCGAGATTTAGATGTACTTTAGAAGTTGCCAAACTTTTCCGAAACAGTCACACATACATATGTACCAATAAGCTGTCATATATGTACATATACACATATACATGTGTGCGTTTGAAGCCGCACAAATCTACGGAACTTTTTTTGCCTAATCACTGGGTCTGGAAGTAAGCAAATACTCAAACATATGTACATATTTATATACGTACATATATACATACCTCAGTTCAACTATCAGACGCCCGGTGGAACAAGAGGTGGTCGGAAAATTACGCTGATTTCTCTTCTAGCACCCATTTGCGAGTAATTTTCGGTATTTTTAGACATTTAAGCTGATTTTCCAGTCGAAGCTTTTGACGATTTGACTAAAGAATTTTCCGCTTCTATATTTTTTAATAAGAATTCTTTATTCCTCTTCTGGATATAACCAAATAACCGCAGCAGTGGCACATACTCACCGTCCAAGGCGACAACAGACAGTCAGCAGGTGTCGATGGGCAATAGGCAGAGTCAATTTAGGAGCTCAACACCTTCGAAATTTATATTTTTCCTTCGAGTAAACATTTGATTCAGAAAAAACAGAAAACAACAACGTAAAAGACAGAAAAAACAGAGCTATGAAGACAGACTCGCTCATAGAATGTTATAAACAAATTATTTTGGGAACATTTTTTTTGGTGTATACTTGGAACAGACGGTATTAACAACATTAGCAATGAGAGCTTTACTTCTTCTTCTTCCACTTGTAACTTTATTACCAGAGGCATTCGCACTGAGAGGTGATAATGGTGCGACGAGGACGACGAAGCTTTTGTGATTTCGAATAGTTCAAGCAAAAGCAACTCAATCGCATATACATGAATACGCAATCGTATCCCTGCAGTACAGCTGGTAGCCCATTGATCCAAATTCTTTAGCGATCTCGTTAGAAATTATTCTACTGTTTGCCTAGCTGTCCACAGTACTGTTAAACGACAATTGTGGGAATCTGCTTTTGATTTTTTCTTGATATGAATTATTGTTCCGTTACAACTGGAAATATTTTCATTTTTTGAACCATTATAATTTTAATTTTCAACTTCTGGTACACAAATGGTACAAATATGAGTCACTTCTACTCTGTACTTCTTGGTAGGATGTGTATATATATACTTGCTAGTTAGGTACAAAAGGGTGTAGCAAAATTCGTAGATTCCATTTCAATTAATAATAATTTTTGTTCAGGAGAAGATGGATGGTACAGAGGACCATGTAAGAAAGTCCACACAACTCCAGAAAACTCGTCTAGAAGCAAATGTGCCCGAACAAAGCAAAGAAGATATCTACCGCTTCCAAACAAACTAATGAGTCTCTTGAAGAAGTGACTCATTACTCAGAACTACAAAACGGACTAGCGAAAGGTAATGCAGTAGGGCGACAATTTACCCCATCGTAAGACAAGCCCATGTAAAATTATACAGTGGAATGTACTGAGAGTAGATTGATCGGTGGTTGTCTACCATCACCAGTAACTGTCGAAATCGTTTGATATTCGTAAGTATCTTTTCCGGCAGGGATATATATATATATAAATATATATGTTTGTATGTTTGAACATTAATAGTAGAAAGTAAAACAAAGGGTTGGATATCTCTCTTCCGTCGCTAGAACGCAGAGATCTATACATGTCCCGATAGTCATCTTAACGAATGTCCGCATCGGAGGCGAGCTCAGAGGTACTCGACCAGTCAGCAATAAATATCGGCCATATTCGGTTGTTAGTCTCAAAATGAGGGTTCGTGCATCCCGAAACGTGTAATGAGAGCGAGCCAAAATCCAGTAGTATCGAGTATACATCGGAAAAATAGCCCAAGATCAGTCTGTCTCAATTGTTTAAGAAGCAATTAAGAGTCGAGAAAGATTACGAAAGCTCCAGAAGGAGGAGGAGGAGTAAAAATACGCTGGAAATAAAGCATCGGAAGCTCGGCATCGCCGCAGTATTTTTACATTACTGACACGACAAACGGTCAACGGACCTAAAGCTTTTCACCGATTGTAAAAGGGGATTGGTCATCTGGCACCATTTTTAGTATGTAGCTCTTCCAAAAGCCATAGAGCTCGCTGAATACATTCAAGGGTAACTTTAATTAACAACTCTCTCCTCGCCAGCATGAAATTTTAAGATGGTTCACTTTATAATAAAGGCAAATTGCTAAATACATATGTATGTACCAAATTTCCTGTGCGTCAAACGATAAATGAAAATTTTTAAATTAAATAGGTTATGGGTAAAGTTTCCAGAAGAAAATGCGCTTCCCAATTGAGGCAACGAGCCTTCATATAAATCAAGCGATTCAAATATAAATTCGATTTTTGTAATAGGTCGGCCCCGGGCCTAAAATTGCGGGAAAACTTCATTATCAGATGCCCACCGCAGACGACAAAGACACCCTCCAGGTTTCACATATCTAAGATTTTTTGTTGAGGCCTTTATTATATACGTATGTATGTATATGTAGATTATTATTTTAGATCCCTAAAATATGCATACGGATTTCGAAAATACGTTTTCTGCTGGAGCTTTAGACCCAAAAACCGATTATGGTCTTTCGCCGGAGAATAGAGATGAAGAAGTTCTGTTGCCTACTATATGGGCTTCTGCACATGACTCCATCATTCATCCAACAAGAGGTGAAAATAGTTTTTTGAACCCACAGCTTAGTAAATTTTTTCCTTATGCGAAAGTCAAGTCGATTTATGCAACTTTGTTTGAACTTAGGATTATAAACATACATACGTACAAACACATTATTTTGTTTTAATTACGATTCCCATCACTTTTTATTGCTCACACTCGGCGACTTATTGGGCGACTTTTAAGTTCAGAAACTAATTTTCAGCAGAACAACAAAATAAATTAGTAAATGGAATTCAAGAAACGAAAAATTGTTAATTTTTTGCTCCGAATAAAGTTTTCAACCTTTCCAACCAGCATTCGGTACCTACGGCCAATCAGTTAGCGAGCAATCAGCCTACTCACAGACATACTCCCATGAAAATGCATTCAAACATGCATTCAGACATACAAGTCAAATCGAGATGAGCACGTTGAAGTGCTGCCTTTGAGCAGTGCTTTTAGTTTTTTTAAGAATCCATTAAAATCAGTGGCCAAATTCATTTATTTGCCTTCCGAGTCGTCTACGCATAGCGAAAAAACCGAAAAGGCAATTAGAATGAAGAAGCGAACGACAAATGGCCGCGATTGAAGCCGCTTTTATGGGGCACTCACTGCAATGCAATGACCCGAGCACCGAGTGCTAAGCTAAGCGAAGCCACGGAAAGCGGCGACACGACTCGAGTGACTTAATGAATTTCGATTTGGTGAGCGAGTGCGTGGTGACCGGACGTCGGCAATAACAACAAGCTTGGCGCAAATAGCAATGGAAGACCAGCAGCAATGGCAACGCACGCGGCGACAACCAACAACAGGGACAACGTCAACAAAAACAATAAGGGTAAGCAGTGGGTGTTACCCTTGCGGCTATAAAAGCGGTCGTCGAATGGTCGAAATACGCCAACGGAATTCCAGACTAAAAGTCTAAAAGGGGTGGACACCAAACAGAAAAGAACACAATCACACAAGCACACACGCATACATGCATACACGCAGAAACATTTTTAATAAGGCTATAAAGAAGACAAGTCCTCGAATTGGAGGAGTGAGTATTTGTGTGTGTCAGAGCGTGTGCGAGTGTCTGAAAAATATCAAAGAAAAAATCTAAGAATCGCTCCGAAACAATACCGAACATAAAAAGCGCGCTTCTTTCTTTAATGAATTGCAATTTCTGTGCTGCCGGTGACCAGAGCCCGCGAAGACGTCAGCGCCCGCGCTTTAGTTGGCAATAAAAGGATGCATACACCTTTGCGCACATAAATTTTGATGTACGAGTATGTATGTTTTATATATGTATTTTAGCTGTTGTTATTTTGTCCCCATATAGTCTTGGCGTTTCGTTGTTTGTTGTTTCTTGTTCGTTGTTTGTTGTTGAGATTCCAGATACTTTGGCGATAATGAAGCACAGGTTGATCACGGAGGCGGCCACATACGCTACATATTTGAGTGTCCATGCACTCAACGCACTCGGCCATATTGCTGCTGATGACGACACACAAATTACGCTTAACCCGCAAAGGGCGTTTGCGATTTCCCATTGCCACTCACGGTCGATCACAAGTTGACTCCCGAAGTGACCAGACTTTGAGCCGAAGAGCAATAAATTGCTGGTTCTGCAGAAAATTCGTTCGAACGAAGTGAGATACCAAGGTAGTAAGCCATCTGGTCAGCTCGGAGAACGTAATGCGCCATAGCCAGTAATAATTCAGTCATATTGATTCGATGTGCGGCAATTCAGTCTTTATGACAATATCAACGGCACTCAGAGCCGCAGCGGTGCGCGACGTTGATGGTTGATGCTTAGTTAAGTATAGATGTTGCACGAACAACAAGTATTTACGGCGGACACTCCATCGCGACGGCGACACGGCGCAAGGTAAACTGTCGTCTGAGAAAAGACTGAGCGGGAAAAGGTAATGGCGATGCTGTTGCCCCGATGCTGATGGGACATAAAATATAGCTTGCTCCTCATCTGCTGGGCGTCCGAAAGCAGCAATGACAGAAGTGGCAGCGGCTGCGTTACCGACTAAAATAGCAAATACTTGAAGCACACACACACACAGTCAAGCACAGACACACACAATTTGCTGCAATTTAAACAACGACAGTAGTAACAACAACAACCACAACAAAAGGCCAAAGCAGTAGGAACTTACACAGGATCTCTGTGAAAATTACTGAAATTGGAACCACATATCACCGGTGTGACACAACGCACCTCCCGGCACCTCGCCTAGCCTCGCATCCTCCACCCAGCATCACATCACATCACATCAGTGCAACCGAATAGACACAGCGCGGCGGCAGAAACAGACAGCAGAGTCCATTTCGTCATTGCTACCAACGCCGACGATGACGGCGACGACGACGACGACGACGATGAAGAAGAGGCTCGTGAAGGTATATTCCTGCCCCGCGGTATATAATTAAGATAGTCAGTCGCCGTGAAACCAATTTCTGTCCTTTCGCAAAAAGGCTCGCAGGCACACAGTGAGCTCCAGCTTTTTTTCTCACATCAGCAGAACTTGCGTGTGGACTTGGATGTGTGTCTTTATTGGAAATTATATAATAACATATATTCGTACATATTTGTACATGCAGAGCTTGGTAGGTATGGCTGTAGGTGCTCACCCGTAATCATGTGATTGCAAACGTCGCATAAGCTAAACACTCAACACACACACACACACACGCCAGTGGTTCCAATGACTCAAAATAGCCTATGTAATTTGCCATTGGTGTCTATCTGTCTGAAATTGCCAAGTCAAAGAGCGATTGGATGGAAGGCGGGGCAGAAATAAATGGATTATTTGGGTGCCATATCAAAAGTGGATTCTGAGAAATTGACGGGGACATACGGGTCGTCAGTATACACACCTATTCTATGTATGCGAGTAAAAGGATTCAATCGTCGTCATGTGAAACCGAAATTCTGCTTAAGAAACAATCTAGGAAACTTCAAAGTACTTAT